GCCCCCGGCCCCGCCTCCCGCCCGCGCAGCCGGAGGGGCGGGGCCCAGAGGAGCTGGGCGGGGCCTGGGGAATCCGAGGGCCCGGACCAGGATTCCAGCGCATGGGGGTGACCTGAGGAACCCTTGTAGGTTTGGGGCGGGCCGAGCCGGGCTTATTTGACTGTTTTGACTTCCTTGGAGAAGGGCGCGGGGCAGAGTTTCGGCGAAGTTCTGAGGGGTAGGGTGAAAGCGGCAAACGCGCGAGGCTCAGGCCTTCCGTGTGCCCACGCGTGCACGCCGGTGTGCTAGTGCGGACACGCGCGGGGGCAGCCATCCACTCCCTGAACAGGAGGGGGCGCGAGATGGTAGGAGGAGGGAGTCTTTTTGGTTCGGTCTTACCCCTCCTCTCTCAACGTCCCGGCAGGGAGTCTTGGGGATATGAGGGTATGGACTCCAACACACCCACCCGGTCAATGGTGACATCATGGCTTTCCGTCCCCATGGCAACGGACGGCCTAGTCTGGGGCTGGGGTGGCTTAACGGCGGGCCTGGACTAGCAGGGAAGTGTGGACTGAGTTTCTCCAGCCAAGCCCAGGGTGGAAAGTTTTGGGGGAGCTGCGTCCTCTGGTGGATACTTCGGGGAGACAGAGATGGGGAGGAAGAGGAAAATTGAATTGCTCACAATGACAGGCCTGATGGAGACATTTAAGGCTTGATCCGGAGTCTAACGATAAATTACACCACTGTTTTGCGTTTGCATGGCATCTTTTACCTTTTAAAAGCGCTTCTTTAAATCGGTTATACTCGATTTAATTTTATCTTTTAGAGCAAGCAATATCACCATTTTACAGAAGGGAAAGTTGAGGCACAGAACTTTAACAGTCAGATGGAAAGTTTTAAAGACTCGGTCTCCCTGCTCCAAGTTGCCACTGCAAGACCACACGAATGAGTCACATATGGGTAGAGTTAGAGCCTGAGGAGCAACTTAGTTGGGTTCCAGTCCACAGGTGGCTGGCTCCACAAATCTGATGTAAGCTCAGGTTTTGGGATCGTCCTTCAGATTGTCTTTTTACATATTAACTTGCATAAGGCTTATTATGAATAAATAAGCAAATTAAGTCGCAGTCTGCATGACCTTAAGAATGCCCTCGCGCGGGTCTCTCTCCAGACGTTCATGGTCTCCCACCTTTCGCGCTCCTGCCAACACCCGCGCGGTGGCCCTGGCCCTTTAAGTCGGCCCGCGAGGCCCCGCCCCTCCCGCGCGCAGTCCGCAGCCGCGGCTCCTCCCGACGCGCGCCCCGCCCTCCCCAGCTGTGCACCTTCGGTCCAGCTGCGCGCACGTCGGGAGTCCCAGACATGTCCGCGGAGAGAGAGGTAGCCGAGGCGGCCACCGTGGTGGCGGCGGCCGAAGCAGGGGCCGGAGAAGACGCCTCTTCTCAGCCCCCGAAAGCCGAGGCCGCTGGCGACGCCCAGCCATCCGCGACTTCCGAGGGGGCCGCCGCCGCGTCGCCGCCGCCGCCGCTGCGGTGCCTGGTGCTCACCGGCTTCGGTGGCTACGACAAGGTGAAGCTGCAGAGCCGGCCGGCTGTGTCCCCGGCCCCCGGTCCCGGCCAGCTGACGCTGCGCGTCCGGGCTTGCGGGCTCAACTTCGCCGACCTTATGGCCCGGCAGGGGCTGTACGACCGGCTGCCGCCGCTGCCCCTCACTCCGGGCATGGAGGGCGCCGGCGTCGTGATCGCGGTGGGCGAGGGAGTCAACGACCGCAAGGTGAGCGGGACAGGGCAGGACAGGGAGAGGCTGCCCGGGCCACCGGGTAGTGGGGCTCGAGTGGGCGGGGGGCGGGGGTGTGGCAGGGCGGAGGAAACTGGCACTGACCCGGGCAGACGGGCATGGAAGGCGTTGGAAAGGAGCCTGTGTTACGAGAGCCCTGGGGAATTGGGTTAATATTGGAGGGTAGGTAGTGGAGATAGAGTTATCGCCCCCTCCCCAACCATTTCTAATTGTGGCCGCCGCCCAGCAGCGGCGGCGTGGGTGGTGGTTTGGGGCCG